ACTGTTTATGTTACCTTTTGTTTTTTTCTTCTGTTTCCCTTTACTTTTTTACTTTATTTCCTTTTGCTTTTTATCTGCTTTACTCATTACCTTTTTTATGTTTCATTTTGCTTATTATGTTTCCTTCTGCCTTTTATATATTTTTTTTTATACAATTCATTATATGTTTTGCTTCCTTTTTTTTTTTTTTTTTTTACCTGCTTTTACCTTTTTTAGCCAAATTCCTTTTACTTTTTATCTTTTTCCTTTTATTTTTTATGTTTCTTTTCTTTAACTAATTAATTTTGCTTTCCTTGTTTTGTTTTGCATTTTCACCTTTCCTGTTGTCCGTCCTCGCGTATCTCTTGTAGATGTAGAAGGTCGAATAAGAGGTAGGTTCTTTATCCTGCTGTTTATTGGGCATTTGTACAGAGAGCAGGAGAGGGCGCCAGTCAGACCATCGTCTCTCCAGCTTGCGGGACCACTGAAGGGACGTAACAGACAAACTCGTGGGGTTGCCAATTAGGCTCTGTAATTGTTGTCACCTCGGGTGTATCTGTTTTACATGGTAGAAATAATTATGTACAGAGGCATAGGTAAATGACATAGATTTCATATATCCACATTTCCTTTTTTTTCATTTATGTATCCTTTTATTAAAAAAAAAAGTTTCCTTTTAACGTCTTTTTCCATTTGTCTTTTAGGTGTTTCTTTTTGTTTTTATCTGTTTTCTTTTGCTTTTCATCTATTTCCTTTACTTTATTTTATTATGTTGCCTGTTATCGGTTTTCTTATGTTTTTTATCTGTTCCCTTTTGCTTTTTATTTATTTTTTTCTCTTTCGTTTTGCCTTTTTTTTCTCTTTTATTTGTTTATGTTTTCATTTGCCATTTATCTGTTTTCTTTTGCTTGTTATCTGCTTCCTTTTGTCTTTTATCAATTTTCTTTTTGTTATTCCCTTTTGCATATTATCTGTTTCCTTTTGTCTGTTTGTCTGTCTCTCTCTCTCTCTTTTTCTTTTTATCTATTTCCTTTTGTTGTTTTTGTTTTTAGGTTTCTAGCACATATGTCAGCAGAGAATATGAATATAATACTCGCCAAGTAAGTAATATACATGATTAATAAAACAGCTATGCATGTAGCGACCTTTACTTGGTCAGAACTTTATAAAGAGAGGACAGTGTAGGCTTAAAGTAGAGTAGGTTAGTGTTCGTAGTACACTGTAGCTTATCTTAACTAACATACTTGGCACAAAATAGGGCTGTATTTACGACCGCTAAGTATTTCTGTCTTATATTTCATAACCTTTTTAACCTCTGATTTTTTTTCTTTTTTTATATAATGCTTTGCATATATTGCCACTGAATTGTATATATTTCCACTGACATGATAACAGATATTTTAACAAGATCTATTTACTCTGAACACTAACGTTGCATTTAACTTTATAAAACTTTCCTGCTGGTGTAGCCTCCTTGTTTGCCCCGTACAGATACACTTTCCTACACGACTATATCTGCCCCCTACAGACACGCACACACGTACGCACATGAAAACACAGACACACACACACAAACATAAACACGCACAGACACACACACACAAACATACACACGCACAGACACACAACGCACATAAAATACACATAAACGTATACATACACATACATATCTGCCCCCGCCCCCTTGCGCATATTCATCACCACAGACACATACACATGCAACACAAAAACACACACACGAACAAACACATATACTCCCCCAGCAGACACACGCACAAAATTCCCTCGTTATCTTCCTCGGTTCCCAGCATGCCCTTCCCGCATTCGATACGCTTGGCATGCCCCTTGCACAGCCCTTTGCTTCCTCCAGAAAACTCACGGGCAGCGGGACACGCGGCCGGAGCAGCTGAGCGTCGTAATCATGGGTACAGATGCAGTGGCCAGAGGTAACTGAAGAGGACATTTCAGCTTTTAAAAAGACGGAGAGGAAAAGATGGGAAATAAGTAGTTGCAAAGAAAGGACGGAGAGAGAGAAAGAAAAAAAAGTAGATGTATAGTAACGACTGTATAGAAAGCAGCTATATAGAAAGAGAATTCACCATTAGAAAAGATGTAACCATTTTCATTCTAAAGGATATTGAAAAACGTGCAGTCATTGCTTTATATTCATTTTTTCACTTTGGATTTCTGTATCATCTACAATGCTATAAGTTCTAAAACACACGTTTTCGTTGCTTATAGATATGAGTTGCATACGTTTCTCCCTAACCGTCTGCTGAGATATGTCTCAGTTCTTATAGCCTATATTAACCAGTCTTAATAAATACTTAATAAACAATGCATTTTGTCAATCTCATTTCTTCATAAACAGAGCATCATATCAATCTCCATAATCCATATTCTATAATCCTACTAAAATCCCTTCAGGAAACCTCCGCCGCCACATGCCGAAGACATTCCGCTTCCTGCGGGAGGAGCTGGACGCCATCGACCTCAGCGGCTACGTGAAGGTGGCCGACAACACGGACCCGAACATGTACGCGGTGCTGATGGGTCTCACGCCCAAGGAATTCCAGCAGCACAAGTGCAGGTCCAAGCGGAACGCCAAGTACGACGACTGCCCGCTCATTTTCAAGAATTTCTCCCAGGCGGGGTACGTCACGGCCTTCGGGGAGGACTCGCCCTGGATGGGGATCTTCCACTACAACCAGGTCGGATTCGTGAAGGAGCCCACGGACTACTACAACAGGCCGTACTTCCAGGTGTCCGAGAAGTACATCAGCCACAACGGCCAGTACGGCTCCTCCAACGGCAAGCTGTGTCAGGGGGGGACGCCAAGCATCACGGTCATTCACAACTACTCCTTAGCCCTGGCTGAGGCGCACCGAGACGTCCCTTACTTCGGCCTCTACTGGAACGCCGCCGTGACGCACGACTACCTGAAAATGGCGGCCATTTTTTTTTTTTTTTTTTTTTTTTTTTTTTTTTTTTTTTTTTTTTTTTTTTTTTTTTTTTTTTTTTTTTTTTTTTTTTTTTTTTTTTTTTTTTTTTTTTTTTTTTTTTTTTTTTTTTTTTTTTTTTTTTTTTTTTTTTTTTTTTTTTTTTTTTTTTTTTTTTTTTTTTTTTTTTTTTTTTTTTTTTTTTTTTTTTTTTTTTTTTTTTTTTTTTTTTTTTTTTTTTTTTTTTTTTTTTTTTTTTTTTTTTTTTTTTTTTTTTTTTTTTTTTTTTTTTTTTTTTTTTTTTTTTTTTTTTTTTTTTTTTTTTTTTTTTTTTTTTTTTTTTTTTTTTTTTTTTTTTTTTTTTTTTTTTTTTTTTTTTTTTTTTTTTTTTTTTTTTTTTTTTTTTTTTTTTTTTTTTTTTTTTTTTTTTTTTTTTTTTTTTTTTTTTTTTTTTTTTTTTTTTTTTTTTTTTTTTTTTTTTTTTTTTTTTTTTTTTTTTTTTTTTTTTTTTTTTTTTTTTTTTTTTTTTTTTTTTTTTTTTTTTTTTTTTTTTTTTTTTTTTTTTTTTTTTTTTTTTTTTTTTTTTTTTTTTTTTTTTTTTTTTTTTTTTTTTTTTTTTTTTTTTTTTTTTTTTTTTTTTTTTTTTTTTTTTTTTTTTTTTTTTTTTTTTTTTTTTTTTTTTTTTTTTTTTTTTTTTTTTTTTTTTTTTTTTTTTTTTTTTTTTTTTTTTTTTTTTTTTTTTTTTTTTTTTTTTTTTTTTTTTTTTTTTTTTTTTTTTTTTTTTTTTTTTTTTTTTTTTTTTTTTTTTTTTTTTTTTTTTTTTTTTTTTTTTTTTTTTTTTTTTTTTTTTTTTTTTTTTTTTTTTTTTTTTTTTTTTTTTTTTTTTTTTTTTTTTTTTTTTTTTTTTTTTTTTTTTTTTTTTTTTTTTTTTTTTTTTTTTTTTTTTTTTTTTTTTTTTTTTTTTTTTTTTTTTTTTTTTTTTTTTTTTTTTTTTTTTTTTTTTTTTTTTTTTTTTTTTTTTTTTTTTTTTTTTTTTTTTTTTTTTTTTTTTTTTTTTTTTTTTTTTTTTTTTTTTTTTTTTTTTTTTTTTTTTTTTTTTTTTTTTTTTTTTTTTTTTTTTTTTTTTTTTTTTTTTTTTTTTTTTTTTTTTTTTTTTTTTTTTTTTTTTTTTTTTTTTTTTTTTTTTTTTTTTTTTTTTTTTTTTTTTTTTTTTTTTTTTTTTTTTTTTTTTTTTTTTTTTTTTTTTTTTTTTTTTTTTTTTTTTTTTTTTTTTTTTTTTTTTTTTTTTTTTTTTTTTTTTTTTTTTTTTTTTTTTTTTTTTTTTTTTTTTTTTTTTTTTTTTTTTTTTTTTTTTTTTTTTTTTTTTTTTTTTTTTTTTTTTTTTTTTTTTTTTTTTTTTTTTTTTTTTTTTTTTTTTTTTTTTTTTTTTTTTTTTTTTTTTTTTTTTTTTTTTTTTTTTTTTTTTTTTTTTTTTTTTTTTTTTTTTTTTTTTTTTTTTTTTTTTTTTTTTTTTTTTTTTTTTTTTTTTTTTTTTTTTTTTTTTTTTTTTTTTTTTTTTTTTTTTTTTTTTTTTTTTTTTTTTTTTTTTTTTTTTTTTTTTTTTTTTTTTTTTTTTTTTTTTTTTTTTTTTTTTTTTTTTTTTTTTTTTTTTTTTTTTTTTTTTTTTTTTTTTTTTTTTTTTTTTTTTTTTTTTTTTTTTTTTTTTTTTTTTTTTTTTTTTTTTTTTTTTTTTTTTTTTTTTTTTTTTTTTTTTTTTTTTTTTTTTTTTTTTTTTTTTTTTTTTTTTTTTTTTTTTTTTTTTTTTTTTTTTTTTTTTTTTTTTTTTTTTTTTTTTTTTTTTTTTTTTTTTTTTTTTTTTTTTTTTTTTTTTTTTTTTTTTTTTTTTTTTTTTTTTTTTTTTTTTTTTTTTTTTTTTTTTTTTTTTTTTTTTTTTTTTTTTTTTTTTTTTTTTTTTTTTTTTTTTTTTTTTTTTTTTTTTTTTTTTTTTTTTTTTTTTTTTTTTTTTTTTTTTTTTTTTTTTTTTTTTTTTTTTTTTTTTTTGGGGGGGGGTTGGGTAGTAGAGGGGGGTTTGGGGGTGGACGCCTGGAGAAATATGAAGAAGAACACCAAGAGGTTAACTTCCACCTTCGACCTCCACGCGACGCTGTTCGATGTTCTGAATCGAGCCTACGCCGACATGACGAGGTGAGTGCAACGGGGCTGTCATGCGTGTGTGTATGTTTATCACGGCGTGTCTTGCAGGCTTCTTCCCTCTCTCTCTGTCTCTCTCTCTCTCCATCTCTCTACTCTTCCTTTCTTCTTCCCTCCCTC